GATCCCCTGAGCTTTTTCATCGAGACGGATGACTGCTCAACTTTGCGGAACGTTTTAAATCGAAGGTACAAGTGACTTCTCTGAAACGTATGATTCAGAAAAATTTTACCTTTTGAAACAGCTGAGTTTTAAGGATTTTTTCTGATCCCAGCAAACGTCGCGTGCCCATCTCTACACACAATCCATTTTTCTAAACCTATTGCTAATTAATTTCATCTCTAACTTTCTCTTTTACTAGGACACTTGACTGTCACTGTCTAGACTGGTTTGATAAGAACAAGAGCTGATTTCAGTTTTTCTAAGAAGACATACTTTTACTTATTCAATTTTTTATTCGTCAGATATATGCATTTTTGTTAAATGTACCTGTTGAATTTTTTAGACAAATTCAAAAGAAATAAAGCATGAGTTGGTATCGGAAAGATAACCCAGATGTTATACCCGGTAATCCAGAACGTATTGGCAAATGGGACCCAATTCAATATCTTGATGTAACAAAATATTTAAAACCATTCAATGAATATCCAAAAGATTTTAACCCAAGAGTTCATGGCGCTTATTTACCATACATGTACTACGGAAAAGGTAAGTGTATCAATCGTTTGTCTTTAGTTGTTCTACTTTGTTTCTATATCTTACCATAGCGGAAACACCATTTAGTCAATTAAAAATAAAAGAAATTCCAGGATGGTTTAGTCGACGAAATAAAACGCCAATGGATGCATATCAACTGGGTTTAAGAAGTAAACCATTTCAACTAAGAAATGTTATGCGATAGATTGAATAATGCTTGATTTGTTCTTTTAGCATTTTGGCGTTGGTATCGTGCCTATGGTGATTGTAAAAAGCCAAATCTCATTTGGGTTATCCAACCATTTATTCTATTTTCATTAATTAATTTCTTCGCAACTGCTGTACCAGAACGAAGTATGCATATAAAATATTCGTATGTGCTCTATCCTTAATTATATACGGTTCTCTTTTATAAACGTATTTAGAGCATCATAAATGGGCAAAATATCATTAGACAAAAACTTAGACTGATTTAGTTCATATGCAGTGATCGTACTTGGTTTTTTCCCAAAGATGATTGTTAAATTCTCCGAAAAAACTTCAATCTAGTTTACTTTCCTAATTTTTTCCATGTCTTTCTCATCCTAAAAAGCTGTACTGTTTTTTGTCGCTCATTTTTTACAATAAAGTTTAGTATTTGAATAGACGATTGAAGAAATTATCTCCTCACAATGGCGGTAGATAAAGATCTTCTATGATAACAGAAAAATAATCAAATATATTTCTAATTCAGATGAAAGTTTTAATTGTCGGTTCTGGTATCACTGGCGCTATTGTCTCGTATTTACTACGTCAGCATTATGCGAAACGTATTCAATTAATTGTTTATGATAAAGGAAGAGACATTGGTACGTGCTAAGATGTATGTTTCATTATTCTGGCAATAGAGCTGAATCTACGTTTTATCGTCAATAGCTGTCAGTTCTTTTTGGAAATACAAAGAAAAACAATCAATGGCACTACTTCTGAAGAAAAGTCTCTGAGTTAAACATATTGAAATGCATTTGCGAAAAATAAGATTGATTCTTCGTCTAATAGGAGGACGCATGTCGACAAGTCGATCATTATTTGATTCTAATTGTTTTTGTGATACTGGCGCCCAATATTTAACAATGAGTAATCATTCGCCAGCAAAAAAGTAAGACGATTAGAATGAAAGCGTGTTTTCTTGTAAGTTATCCACGCCCATTTCACAAGATATTTTCAACAATTGATTGATGCGAAAATTATAAAAGTATTAGATGCAACAAATGTAATTGGTATGCATCAACGAGAAGATAAACAAGATTATGTTGTTTCAGATGGTATATCAACGATTGTACGGTATTATTTTGATCAAGCAGGTAAAAAGAATACTGTGTTAGCAAAAACAAAACATGTTTTCAATGTTCTTTATTTTAGAAATGGATAATATTTTTAATTCGAAGACAATCAATGAAATAAATGTAAATGAAAATAATATTCAAATACATGGTGAATTAGTTGATGATGAATGCGATGCTCTCTTTTTAACGATACCTGTAACACAAATATTACAGTTGAAGGGAAAGATCGCTAAAATTATAGGTAATGTAAACAGACAAACTTGAAAATGAAAATATGAGATTCTGATATTTTCTTTTAGAAAATGATTCACAATTGAAGATAAACCTTGAAAAAGTTCAATATTCATCTCGTTTTTCGGTCAGTTTATTTTATGATGAATCTATTCAAACTTTGAATATTCCATGGCATATTAAATATATCGATAACGATGATTGTTTACGTTATGTGTCTGTTGATAATTTGAAACGAAAAAAATGTATGTTCGGATGGAATTTAATGCACAAAGATATAACGATCATTTTTTTCTTCTTCTATAGATTCACCTCCATTTAGTTTAATTGCTCAAACATCTGTCCAGTTTGGTGCCAAGCATGCTGAAAATGACAAAGAAGTCATTGGAAAACAAGTGTTAAAACACTTATTCGATTTATTTCCTGAATTACCAAAGCCAACGGAGACAAAATTTCACAAATGGCGTTATTCACAGGTAAGATTTAGATAGATTCTATTAAAAAATGTTCTTATATATTTCTTTTTGCTATTTAGATTACACAACCATACTCGGGCAAACCTGGTTATCTCATTTTAAATGAAAAACCATTATTATTATTGACCGGTGATGGATTTGCAGAGTCAAATTTTGAAGCATGTGTTGAAGCAGCAACTAAAGCGGTTGATCGATTTTGTCAAATGATTGATATTTGATAAAAGAAATCTTAAAATATTCTTTTTTCATCCTCTACTTTTGTATGCAATACTTTTTTTATTATTGGCGTTTATATAAATCATTTTATGCTCTAAAACTAATGTAGTTTAAAAGTTAACAAAATCTGAATTCATTGATTAAGGCAATCAAATGTAATAATAGTTTAACAGCAGCTGACAACATTGTTGAGCGTGATTACTAAAATTAATTTAAGCTTAGATAAGTCAAACTTTCAGACATTTGACGGCCATTTTAAGCGTCACAAATTACAATTAGCTTATGCAAAACCTTCTCTATTGGAGAAAATAATTATTCATGATCAAGTGTAAATTGCATTCGAAACAATTGGTATTTTATTCTTTTGGATCTGACAGTTTTAATTTATCATAATCAATACTGCATCTTAAGCCATCCTATCTAATAACAAGGTTTCTAGTTGATAAACTCTTTTCTTATTGTAAAATTTGTAGAAGTTTATGTTCTAAAAATTCGCGGGTTCTTTCATGATATTTTGTTCGCTAAAACTTTTTAACATCAGTTAGTTACATTAAATAAAATTTCGCGCAAAAGTTTTAAATCTGTTCTCTGAATATTTTGGTTTCAAATCGAAGAAGATATTAAAACGCCAACAAGATTTCGTCTGCCATGCCTGAATTATCGACAACGGTAAGGAATCGGTTAAATTTGCATAGTTTGAGAAATAAAAGCCAGTTTTAACAGCGTTTTATTTTCCACTACAAAAAGCGGTACGATGTCAGTTGATTTGTCTTACACATCAAATCTCTATCTAATCATACTATTTTTTATTTATGAATTTTATGAATTTCGTTGAATCGATTATTCGAAAACATATCGGTTTTCTGTTCGTTTCAACACAGAGAACAGCACAGCTGACTCTTAAAAAGAAAATAGTGGCGTTTCGTATACCTTATTGCTGTTATTGTTTTACCATAAGTTTGGCTAAGAGATCCAACATAAAGTATACGATACGTCACTATTTTTTTAAAGAGTCAGTTGTGTTGTTCTCTGTTTTGAAACGAACAGAGAACCGACATGTTTTCGAATAATCGATTCAGCGAAATTCATTGGATATGCATTCTTTTCTGAAAGTGATGTAATGAATTCAAGCTCCATGAAGCGAAGAGTATGATGAACATACACTTTCAAAAAACAAGTGCTTCGCCAGCTAAAAAAGGCACTTTGATGGACGATGAATGGGGTACTTTGAGTGCCCTTTGAGTGGTTTCAAATCGAAGAAGATATTAAAACGCCAATGTTTCGTCTACCATGCCTGAATTATCAATAATAAATTTGTGTAGTTTGAGAAATAAACGCCAGTTTTAACAGCGGTTTATTTTCCACTGTAAAAAACGGTACGATGTCAGTTGGTTTGTCTTACAGATCTAATCTCCACCTAATCGTACTATTTTTTATTTGCTAAGCCTTTTTATTTTATAGAACTCACCTCAGCAGATTCAAGCAACAAACGCTGATTTAAAGTTCTTTTTTATTGTCAGTACAAGTTTGACAGTTATTCTGTTAATTATTTTTCCCATATTTTGCACTGCACTTTTATCCACAATCGTAGGTAGGATACAGTGTCAGTTCTGTATTCAGCTTCTAACATGTAAAAATAATATTGCAGATCCTTCGCCCGAAGCGATAGAAATCGCAATAAAAGCAACTGAAGAGCAACATTTTTTACAACGAAATGAAGATGAGCACGAAAGTGCTGGAGAAGATGACGGAGAAGGCACAGATTGGCATTGGGAATATTTTTAATTGCGTCATAAAACAATTAGTCATCAGAATAAACTGACTTTCTATTAATCACTTATATGTATAGGATAATCTTGATATTTTCATGAATCCGGTCAAAAGCCTAAGGTATTTTTAGTCTTCTGTGACAGTTAAGTTAGCCCTCGTTTCAACTAATATCAAAAGCATCGATATGAATCCGTTGTCTCGTCTATATGAGTAACAAAAAAATTGTTCCAAGCAAAAGTCATTGCAGATAGAAAAGCATAATCATCTATCTATAGAAGAAAATTTGTAGTATTCTAAATTTTGTAGTAGGAAGAGCGGTCCTAATTTTGAATGCATAAATTCTCTTGTTTCTTATAGAAATAAATGTAGTTTCAATTTGGAATCGAGAGTTTGTTCTTTTCGTATACTTTGCATGCTGTTAACAATTTCGAATCCCTGTATAAATAGGACACAGAATCACTAAAGACACTGAAACTGATCGAAATATTTGTCAAAACTGATGTTTAAAACAAAATGGAGCTGAGAGCGACATCACCGGATTCAGCAGGACTATAAAAATGAAGAGTAGCATTAGCTTGAAGCGTACTGAAGGATATTTAGGATATTTAGGGTATTTAGGATACATAGAACATTCAGGATACTTAAAATATTTATGATACTAAGCATTTTTAGGATATATAGGATATATAGGTTATTTAGGATAAATAGGGTGTTTAGGATATCTTGAATATTTATCATATATAAGATATTTAGGATATGTAGAATATTTAGGATACTAAGGATTTTTAGCATATATAGGACATTTCGGATATATAGGTTATTTAGGATAAATAGGTTATTTAGGGTATTTTGGATATTTATCATATATAAGATATTCAGGATACACAGAATATTAGGGATACTTAAAATATTTAGGATACTAAGGAATTTTAGGATATTTAGGATATATATTATATTTAGGATAAATGGGTTATATAGAATGAATAGGGTATTTGGGATATATAGGATATTTAGGAAATTTTAGGATATATATGATATTTATGATATGTAGGATATTTAGGATGGATAGGATATATATCATATTTAGTAGATTTAGGATATTTGGGATATCTAGGAGACGCAGGGTAGTTAGGATATTCATGATATTTAGAATATATTGAATGTTTAGCATATTTAGGATATTTGGGATATGTAGGATACATAGAATATTCGGGATACTTAAAATATTTAGGATACTAAGCATTTTTAGGATATATAGGATATTAAGGATACATAGGATGTTTAAGATCTATGGGATATTTTGCATATATAGGTTATTTAGGATGAATTGGGGTATTTAGAAGAGGATGTGTTATGTATCATATTTAGTAGATTTAGGATATTTGGGATATTTAGGATACTAAGCATTTTTAGGATATATAGGATATTAAGGATACATAGGATATTTAAGGTATTCATGATATTTAGAATATATTGGATGTTTAGTATATATAGGATATTTAGGCTATTGAGGATATTTAGGGTATTTAGGATATACAGCGTATTTAGGATTTATAGGATATTGAGGATGTTCTGGATACATAGGATATTTAGAATATCTAGGGTGTTTACGATATATGGGTTATTTAAGATATATAGGATAGTTAGAATATATAGGATATTTATGATATCTCGGATATTTAGGATATATAGGGTATTTAGGATATATAGGTTATTTAGGATATTTAGGATATTTGAGATGTTGAGGTTACACAGGATATTTAGGATACTTAACATATTTAGGACAGTTACGATATTTAGTATACATAGGTGTTATGTAAGGAGATCGTCTTACATAAGCAGCCGGGTCAGGTATGCTTATATAAGATGGTGCATGGCATCATATTTGCTTTGACACATATTAAAGACGTGGCATGAGAGACAATTGTATGATGGGTATCATACATATATATGGATATATATTCATTCTCTTTCTTTTTGTCAGGAGTTTCCCCAGTGTTATTTCTTATTGTGAACTATATGTATCTCTTTCGTTCTCTGTCTTTCTATGACGAATTTCCCCAGTGGTAGTTCTTGGTTTCTTTATTTTCTGTGCTCGCTTACACGTATCCCAGTTTCCGAGTCTAGTACATCAACTCTAGAATATTCCGCTTTTCGTGTAAACTCTCATATAAATGTACGCTATTTTTGTGCAAAGGATATCATGTTTAGTTTCTAAATAAACATTTAAAATCATATCAAATTCAATGATACAAATCAAACAATCTCTGGTGACATCAAAGCGTTAGAACTATAATGACTAGAGCCACATAACAACTGGTGGCAGCGGTGCTTGTTGCGAACATTATATCATCACAACAAGACGAACTCATATTAGTGGCTATTACAAGTAGGTGAAAATTCACGTATTTAAGCGGT